CATCCTAAATATGTAAATTGAAAGTTCTAAAAACAAAATCAAAAATATGAGAGTGTATATTTGTAAGAGAGCCGCCACACGAGAACAGACCATCAGGAATTTAGCCGGACAGGGGTTAGTGGGTGCTCATTATTGAATTATGGGGATATATTCTATCATTATTAATTTTTAAGGGTTAATTTCAAAATTGAATTGGCCATGGATCATCAATTACAACTTGGACAAAGAAAGCTACTCCCTACTTCAGGTAGTCAGTCCACAGGGAGCCCAATTTAGATTACAGTGAATGGTGAAAATAAAATCGGAAAAATTTAATAATTCATATTTTTTTAAATTCAAGATCAAGATAATGTCCTCCGTAATGCGAAAGAGTAAAAAAATCAACAAAAGATGCACTGGAACATTTTTTCGTGAGCGCCTTTGTCAGTCAGTCACATTCCCATTCCCAATTTTCGATTATTTTGTTTATTTGTGATTCCCAGTCCCAGTGCATGAAGTTACAGTGCAAGACAGACAGACAGACAGACACTTTTTTATTCGGTATCGAGTATAAGAAAATACATTGACATTTTACCAGAATAAACATTAACGTATAGAGGCTATAATTGTTGATTTATAGTAGTTTTTCTTATGTTATAATAGATTCACCTATTTAACCTATTTAGTACAATTACTATTTATTGCCTACATATCAAACTTTCCACATAAGGAATGTACTTACCATATTTGGAAATTGGAATATAATTTTCTTCACTAAATAGGTGAATTTCTTGCTCAAAACTGCTAAAACTTACAGTGCAAGATCTCATTTGCCAGCCCTCTGCCCCCCCCCCCCCCATAAAAGCAAATCCCAGCTCTCATTTTACCCCTTAGCAATATTGTTTTTACAACTTAAAACAATTCTAAAAAAATTCTGCAAAACTCATTTATCAAAGTATCCACAAATATTTTTACGATAACTACAAATTTCTTGCATGCTGATTGGCTATTTTTTATCATCAATAAGAGGACAGACAGATAAAGCTGACGTCAATGAGCACGTGCTCATTCCGTTAGTTGTTAATTGATCAGTAAAAATGAGAAGTTTATAATTTTGTCGTTTATGTTATTGTAAAAACAAATGATATCAGTTTTTTGTGTCTGTCCTCTTATTGACATTAAATTACATCATCACATTATCAAAGTAGTATGCAGATCCACGAGACATAATGTCAATATATCAGGGATGGCAGAACCAGGGGGGCTGGGGCTAAAGCCCCCACTTTTTGTGAAATTTTAATACATTTTCACTAAACTCAGCCCCCCCACCTTGCCATACAATGTCACTATTGAGCCCCCCCAATCAAAAAACTGCTCCGCCGTCCCTGTATGTATGTATGTATATATATATATATTGACATTATATGTATATGTCTTTTTTTTTTCTTTTTTTTTGGAGGAAAGAAGTACTGGATTACTCCCATATGAATGAAAGAATAAATAAACAAAAGAGTAAAACAAAGTGCAAAATGCTATCTTTAAATTACTCATATCTATAATATTTTGGGCTGAAAGCTCACTCATTTCACTCCCATAATAATAATACCCAGCATCTTTAGAAGGTGTTATGTCACCTGAAAGCTGCTTGGACAGGCACACTTCCTTTGGTACATCTCCTTTGTTTGGGATTTTAAAATTTGTTGTTGAAAGTTAGAAATTAACAGTCTTTTTTATGTTTAAATCAACTATAAATTCCAAGTCAAAACGGGGTGTAGTGAAGAATATACACGATTAAGCCGTGAAAGTAGGCTTTATTCAAGTAAACCATGTGCTTACACAAACATGGCCGTCGTTACAAAACGTGAGATTCCGCTGACCTAAGGCAGGCACTTACACAGGTAACCCAACAAGTAGTAATTACTAAAGAGTGTTTTTGTTAATGTTTGGTACATTAATCACTATTATCAGTACACGGGGGTCACGGGCACCCTTTGCCCTCTCCCGG